GCAGTGAGAATGGCAGAGGGGAGAAGGGGGCCATTCCCAGGGGCAGGATGGGGGGTCAGGGTACCTTCAGGCCTGGGGAGTGGGCGGGGGGTGGGCTGGGGAGGGGCTGCTCAAATCCCACCCGTCTGGGTGTGTTCCCCCTGCCCTGGCTCATACATCCAGAAGGAATTTAACTTTTCTAGGCATCAACAGGGAAAAGAAAAGAGATGGTCTTCCAGCCCCTGTGGGGCCAGCTCTCAGGCGGGGTCGTGGGGCTGGGACACACGGAGTGAGCATGTGGGAGCTGGCGGGAGGCGGGGCCCTAGAAAGGTGTGGTTGGCATGGACGGGGCCCCAGGAGGCCCAGGCTGGTGGAGCCTGGGACAGGGCTTGCCCTGCTCCCCGAGGGGAGCCACCCACCTCTCTGGAAGGCACAGCATAGCCCAGGCTGGCAGTCCCTCTGGTTGTCACAGATGGTCCCATTGTCGCCTTTGGTGGTCGATTTGCTGCAGTGCCCCCAGACACACAGCTGGTCTCCACAGCACTCGCTGTCCCGGGTGCAGAGCTGCAGAGAGGTGGGCCACACAAGAGCCCCCCAGCTCACCACCAACCCCCCCAGGAAAGCCTGGAGACCACAGGTGGGCTAACCCACATCCTCCCACTGTACAGAGGAGGGAACTGAGGTCCTAGGTCCGTGGGGCTTTTAGAGGAAGTCAAGGGACAGAGGTGGGAGCTGGGCTGGTGAGACATGAGGGGTCAGAGCACTGGAAAGATGGCCCCGGGGGGAGTCATGTGTCTGAGTCTTCCTACGCAGCCTGAGATTTGCAAAGGATGGTACCATGTCCTTGCAGTCCCCCCACAGACTTGTGCCTTGCGTCCTTTTTTTTAGGTCAGGAAGGGCGGGAAGGAAGGTGGCTTAGGGCCCACAGATGCAGGCAGCAGCGTGACTCTGATAAGTCGATTAAATTAAGGCCCAAGCCCTGGAAGGCCATGTGGTGGGGCGGGCACGTGGGCACTGCGGGCCTGGAGTCACACACAGGGATTGGCGACTGGACAGCAAATGGGTTCCCATGGCCGTGCTCAGCGATGGTGCCGAGTGGGGCCCACCAGGAGCGGGAACTGTGGCTGCCTAACCAGGACGGGGCCGGGCGGGGTAGTAAGAACCCTCCACTGGTTAGCATGTGGAAGCCCAAACTTATTGTCATGCTGTGTTATTGTCTTAATAATGAAAAAAGACAAGAACAGTCTGTGAGCCCATATGGCTTCATCCAAAACATCTGTTGGGTGGAGGGAGAGGCTCCGCTCCCCTGGCTTCGTGCCTCTCCGTGGAATCTCCATCCGGGAAGCGCTCCGGCTTCTTCTGAACCTCCCTCTCTGACTGGGCAGACTGGGAGAAAGATCTGGGCTGCAGGCTGGGGGGAGTCACTGGCTGTGTCGCCTGGGAAGGGTCCTCCCCAAGGAAGGGAGGGAGGGAAGGGACAGGTGTGCAGCCTCCTCTGCCCTTCCTCCAGCTCGGTCATCCATGAGGTAGGCAATGGAGCCAGAGGTCACGGGGCAGGGCGGGGGTGGGAGGGGTGGTGGCAGCAGGTCTGCAGATGGCTTCCTGGGATGACTTCCTGGTCACTCCTGGACTCAGCCCCATTGAGCATCACAGAGGGGCTCTTCCAAGCATGGACGTGATGGGGCCCCATAGGAGGCTTCTGGGAAGCCCAGTCGAGAACCACAGGGCTGCTGTCCTTCTCCCCAGGGCCCCTTTTCTGGTCCCCATGGCCCTGATGCTGCAGCCCCAGAGGCCCCTGGGCACACTCACCGTTTGCTGGTCGCGGCACGGCTGGCAGGTGTACTCGAAGCTGGAAAACTGGCAGTACCTGCTGGGCCCGCAGTCCTCGTCAATGATGCACTCCTGGGGAGGAGGGGAGAGGGCAGCTGCGTCGGTGAAAGGCAGCACAACAAGCCCGCAGTGCCCTGGAGGGGCAAAGCCCCATTTTAGTGCCCCCCAACTCCCGGTCTTGATTCACAGGCTCCGGGGTCACAGGAACTGTCTCTAGACTCCTGACTCCGAGCCCCGCCCAGCTCACGCTGTGCAGCATCCACTCCCCACACAGCACACCTGGGCTTCTGCCCTCCAGGATGCCACACCCAGTTCACACACTCGCTGTCCGTGTGCAGCCCTCCCCCTCACACACCCAGGGCGGGTGCACAGAGCCTCAGGGCCATTTTTCAGCGCAGAGCAGATGGATGTCATCAAAGGAGCTAATGAGTTCCAGGCCCCGGGCAGCTGCACAGGAGGCTAGGGTCCAGGCCCGCGGCCTTGCCGACCGGACTGAAGGAGAAGGGCTGCAGGGGCCGTGCAGCTGGCTGCCGCAGGGAGCCCTCCGCAGGGTCGCGGGCTGGGGTCCGGGGCTGTCAGGCATGGCAGCTGCCAGCATCCAAATGGGAGGAAGCCATGGCTGGCATTCGGCCCTCCAGCCTGGGTGCCTTCTCATGGCTGCCAGCGCTGCTCGGCGGAGAAATGGGGGAGAGAGGGAGGCCACGAGAGAGGCCACTATGGCCCTGCCCCGGTCACTGTTCACTGCAGGAGCAGGGCTGCATCAGGCTCGGGCCCGGGAACCGACAGCAGCGGAGGGAAAGAAGGGCGGGAGAAGTGGGAGGCCGTGACAGGAACCCCCACCGAGGACCCCGTCCTGGTGCCAGCATCCCTTGGGTGGGCTTGACTCCCCAGTCTACCTCGAGCCTCCTCCCAGCAGGCGATGGCAGGGATTACTTTCCCCATGCCGCTGATGGGGAAATGGAGGCTCAGAGGAGGCACGAGCCGCCCAGATGGCACAGCTAGTTCAGGGTCGGGGGATGCTGACCACCACCAGCCCTAGGATGAAGGGGCTCAGGGCTCCAGACACAGCCCTCAGAGACGTGCAGATGAGAAAGTCTCTCCTGAGGCAGGTATTCTGGGGCCTCTGCACACCTTCCAGAAGGTTCTAGGGGGAGAGGGGGACCTGCCTCCTCCTCTGACCAGGCCATGCTCCATCCTGAAAGTGGTGTGAAGCTGGACTGGAAAGGCCTGGATGGGCAGGCCCTGGGCTGAGTGGCCGGGGCTGGCCCCAACTCCTGCTCTGTGAACTGAAGCAGCAGTGCTAACAGGTGTGGACAGGGAGACTGCCACCAAGCCTTCCAGGGACCCTGGGGGCCAGAGCATGTGTGCAGGCCTGGGGCTCAGCAGGGAGGCCCTGGCCGGGTGACCTAGGGAAAGGAGCTCTGTCGCTGGGAAGTGCTGTGTCCCTGGTCCAGGGCTGGCTGTCCCCTGGCCAATGCTGCAGGCCCGGGAGGATGGGCATTTGCTCAGGGGGCTGCAGGCTCAGCCTCTGCACAGCACCGTCGCAACCGCAGACAGGCATGGACCCCAGCCCGGCACAGCTCAGAGCGTGGGTCCTGCTCTGCTCACCAGGCCAGACTCAGCCGGCCAGGAAGACCATCAGTCCCACTGGACACCATCTTCCCACAGCCCCCTCTGAAGGATGACGGGCAAGAGGCCACCTCGGAGATGCTGGTTCCAGTCAGCCCCATGAGCCACGCCCTGTGCTCACCATGGGCTCCAGCAGAGACCAGGGCTGACACCCAGAATAACTGGAAAGCAATTGAAATCTTTACTGTAACTTCTTTAAAAATGTCAAAGGAGAGCACATTGCCTGACACCCTGCAAAATGACCTAAAATCACTCTTTCTGTCTCCCCCGAGTCCCACTCAGCTCGGCCCCGCAGCCCCTCCCGTGCTGCCCGCCGCTTTGATCACCACGGCCAAGTGGGGCAGCTCGGCCAGTGGGGCGTCCCTCACAGAAGGAGGGGTCAGTGCTCGTCCTGCTCCCATCCCAGCAACCCTTAAACGTCAGCGATTTCACGGGTGAGAAAACAGGCTCAGGGGGGCGCAGGCCCTGCCCAAGATAAGGGCTGAGCGGGGTCCAGGCGCTCAGAGCCCGGACGGCCTGAGAGTCCACGGGGCTGCAGGTCACCCACACGATGCCCCGTCTTGGCCGCCACGCCCTCGAAGACACACTCAGCTCAGCCACTCAGCCGGAAGGAAGCGTTCTAACCTTTCTTCCAAAGCAGAAGAGCAAGAGAACGGGATGGGAGGGGAGGCCCAGAGGCAGCGAGTGGCTTCTCTGAGGCACTGGATGCAGACGTGAACGTGAGGAGGTCCTGGCCCTCGAGAACCCATAATTCCATCGAAAACAACCAAAAAATGCACCCGATAGAAAAGGAGACCAAGGACACGAACAGACAGCTTACAATAACAGAAATCGTTTTGCCTCTTTACACAGAAAAAGATGTTCGACCTTGGTGACAATGAAGAGAATGCCACTTAAAGGAGCAAGGTATTGTGTTTTCACTTAAAATGGAAACAATTCAAAAGGCTGGTAACCTCCATGGTAGGCAGAGCCCTGGCCCCCCAAATGTCCACATCCTATTCCGTGGAGCCTGTGGATGTGTCACGTGACATGGCAAGGGGGCATTAAGGCCACAGGTGGCATCAAGGTTGCTAGTCAGCTGACCTGAGGATAGGAGAGAATTCTGGATTGTCCAGTGTGCCCAGTGTAATTGTAAGGGGCTTTGAAAATGGAAAAGGAGGCAGAAGAAGGGGCAGTGTCAGAGTGATGCCCTGTGAGACAGACTCCGCCGGTCATCCAGGCCTCACTGGCTTTGAAGATGGAAGGGGCCACAAGCCAAGGAAAGACCCTCCCCTGGGGCCCCCAGGAGGAGCGCGGCCCTGCCCACACTTCCTTCTCAGCCCAGGGAGACCGGCGTCTGGTCTCGGACTTCTGACTGCCAGAACTGTAAGATACTAAATTTGGGTTGTCTTAAAACCACTCAATTTAGGGGAAGTTGCTACCGCAGCAACAGAAAACTAATATAATATCCAGTGTTGATAAGGATTTGAGGAAACGGGCATTGCCAGACACATTGGGGGTAAAGCTGAAGGAGATGCTTTTTGTGGACAATTCATCAGCATCTTTCAAAAGTTTAAGTGCATTTATCCTTTGACCCATTCATTTCCCTTCCAGGTGACTATCCTCAGAAACCCTTGTCCGTATGGGTAAATATCTGTGTACACGGATGTTTAAGGCTACGTGTTATATTATTTGTAATCCAGAAATAATGGAAATACCCAAGAAGAGGAAACTGATTAAACTATGGTATAGTCATTTCACGGGGACATGCCACCAGGCAGACACTGAAAAGAATGAGCTAGTCCTTTGTGTTGTAATGTTTACAATACATCAGAAGGTAAAACAAGCAAGTAGAGGACCCACAGACTCCCACTGCTGTAAAGCAGAAGAACAATAAGTACAGTATGTGCCTGTGCCCAGCACAGCGCCCACGGCGGGCACACGATAGACAAGCGCTGAATGGATGAGACCACTTGTCTGTCACTGTGGCAAACAGGCTAACAAAATGCTGATCATTGGCCGTGACTTGGGAACCAAAGCAGAAACACACATTCCACTAATTTGGTTTTTCATTTCCCAAGCATCTTGTAGACTTGGAATTTTCACTATCTGCTTCCACTTCCAGATCCTTAATTAAAAAAACATGAGCTAAGACCCTTCCAGCACCAATCCCTGTGAGGCCCTGCTGTTTACAATCCTCCATCAAGAAAAATACATGTTCATCTTTAAGGATATCCTCCTTGCCCTAAACTGGCTCCTAGACGTGTGACAAAGCCCGCCTTGCAAAGCCACGGTGAAGCAATTAATTTTTTTCTAGGTATGGAAAAAATTTTTGGCATGGAACCTTGCCAAAGACTTGACAAATCTAAATGCCCTAAAGCTCCTGGCATCCTTTGCCGCCATGTTTTCACTGCCCGCAAGAGCCCTGACGGGTGAGTTCAGCGTGACCTGCCCTTGAGAAAGCTCGGAGCTTTTGTTCTGATCGTCTGCCAGCTTGTTTGTTGTGGATGGACATTCCCAGCAGCCCCTAGAAGCGCTCTTGAAGCATTGTGACCATTTTGGAAACCTTTAAACTTCAAAGTGTGATGAGACACTTGAGGCCAAAAGAGCACAAACTTGGAATCCTGGTTTTGTCACTTAAAGCCGTGTGACCTATTTCACAGGGCCGTGGTGCTGAGCTAGTGCTCCCTGCACGGTGGCCATGGCAACGGGAGCTGTGCATCTGCTCCTACGCCCATCCGAGGCCTGATCCCCGCGGGGCGCCCCTGCCAGGGGACCAGCTTGAACGCAGAAGGGCAGGTCCAGATCACGGGAGATGCTGTCTCCACCAACGGCTCTCCGTCTCCATCTCTGCCAACAGTGGGGATTTCACACCTTGTCCTGACTTCCCTCTATGCAGAGAGCGTCACATGGGTGGGCAGCGGCCTATAGGCCATAGGAGGAAAGCCCTGGGGCAGAGTGGCCTCCAGTTCTATGTAGACCAGGCTCTCCATAGGGTAAGGCTGTTAGTTTGGGGTCTCTCCTGAGGACCTTTTAGTAGTAGGGGGCAGGGTCCCACCTTGCCCGGCATTAGAGACCCTCCCACTTAGAACGGAGTGAGTGGGAAGGGAGGACATGGTTGGTGACCCCCACGCAGAGCCAGGCCTGGAGGTGGGAAATCCAGGATTTTATCCTCTTCAGGAATTCCAGCTTCTCTTACCGGTGCTCAAGGGTTATGCTCCTATTTGGGCTGATGTTTTAAAGGGGCCTCAGCACCCAGCTGGGCGCAGGATGTCTGAGGAGGGCAGCGCTGAAGTAGGAGCCCGGTGAGGGGAGGGAGAGACTGGGCTGCTTCCTGTCTAAGGGGCCGTGGGGGTTCCAGGTCTGGGGCACCTCTTAGAGGTTAGGACTGGGAGAGGGACTCCGTGCTACACGGAGGCGAAATGAAGGCCACGCACACACACCAGTGCAGAATGCAGGGGTCC